TCACACAATGAGGTTAACTAGGTTACAACTTTTTCAAAAAAAGCCTAAATGGATGACAAATTTTCATGATCGTGTTTAATTTAGTGTATTTTATAGCAGGATGTTAGTCATATACAGTAAATAGGTTTGACCTGATACTCGAGTATCGAGCTGTTTACTACAATTTATTTATTTTTTTAAATTTTCTTTTAACATAATTCTCCGATTTATAAATATTTACGAATTTATGTACTGTTCTTGTTAATCTGGATCAGCTTTCGTAAGGAAGTAACTGATGTAGATATAAATTCTTTTTATATTTAATTACTTCAATGGTGAATTTTATAAGTGTTTAAGTTGTTTTAGTAAATGATTTGTATGCCGCCTAAATCTGATGACAACTACTCATCTTTTTGGACAGGTATGTGGGGTGATGTGAGTTTTGGATGTCCCCAGAGGCTTTAGGAATAAAATTTAAACTTAAAAAATTATAAAAAAAAACACATATAAATAAGTAAAAACATACTTTATGATACTTTATTCATTTATTCTGATTATACTTTTTACTTTATCGGCTCTGTTATATGTTATGTAACTTTTATATAACATCTCTGTTATGTGTTATATAATAGAGAGAAAGTATGGCGCTCGGTCAAAAACTGAACCCCAAAAAATACAAAAAATTCGTTTTTTTCTTCTTCTTCTGTATTCATGGATGTTAGTGTATGTGTGGGGGAAACACGATTTTGTTCACTCTCTTTGAAGCTTAATAACTTTATCGAAAATTATGAAATCTGACAAGGAGATTTGTTTATTAGGGGCATTAATGCTATTAAATTTCAGTGGTTAAAGGTCGAAGGAGTAGGGAGATAAAGTGGGTCATGTGTCTATCTCGAGTACGATAAGACTTAATTAATAAGGATTTTACTCATTACCATTTACAATTTTTTTTTTTTTATAAAACCCATTCCTATCCTCAAAATTAAGCTTTTATCATTTTATAATAATAAAAAACATGGAAAGTTTATAATAGTAAAATATCATAACAGATGACCCCATTAAAATTTTAAATGTTGCCGGGAAAGTTAAGCAACTGCTGCTTGATTTTTACATTATCCCTTCCAGATTACTCCAGAGCAAAATTTTAGTCACGCCAATGATATCTAGCATTAATTATACAACTAATAGATTGGTTCTCGTGTCCAAAAATAGTTTTTTTTTTTAGATAATAAATTAAAATAATTATATGTAGGCTAGTTGTATTAATAATAATGGGACTCCATTTGTAAAGGTTTTTTTTTCTTGTTAATTTTATAACCTCTTGTAAAAAGAATTGCTGGGCAGAATGAGCACATTTACATAATTATATTGAATAAATTATTATCTGTTTGGGAATAACACTGTACAGAACGTCACTAAACTATGTTCAGATGTTGTTTTAGTCTAAACACTGATGAAAAGTTTTCTATAATGCTTGTTTATTGTGTAGTTCCTTCAATGTATATTTAAATTTTATGTACAAAATATGTGAAAATATATATTTTAGCGCCGTTAAATAGTTTTTCAAATGAAAATTCGCATTTGCACTTAGAACTGAATCATATTGCTTTTTTCCCAGTCGAATTTTTTAATCTATTGATAACTTTTTTTTATTTATTCTTATCTGTTTCGTAATTTCTGTCAATAATTTCTCCATGCTTTCCTATCTGCTCCAAGAAGAATCACATTCGTTTTTTTGTTTTCTTTCTTTCTTTCGTTAATAAACGTTATTTATAAACTTCTGAAGAGCAACTTTTAGTATTCGATTGCTTCTTGTTCTCTCTGTTTAGGTCTTTAGAAGAGCAAGTTTTATATTATAATAATTATTGTTCATAGATTTTTATGTTTAAATGAACATACCTTATTTTTACTTTTCCGGCTATTATATCTTATGTAACAGTATAAAAAAATGACCCTCTCCAAGATTTTTTCTTACATTTTTGTACTCGGGGGACCTTGAAACGTCGAGAAATGCAATAAATTTGGGGGTTTTTCTGTATGTACGTGTGTTTGCAGTGTGTGGGAGACACGATATTGCTCACACACTGAAGTTTAAATAACTCCTATGAATTTTATCGAAAATATCTGAAATTTTGCAGAGAGGTTCGTTTATTAGGTCCATTCGTGCTATTAAATTTTGGTGGTTAAAGGTCAAGGGGTGGAGAGATATAGAGGGTCGTGTGACGTATGTCGAGTAGGGTCGGGCTTAATGATTTTACTCGTTATTAGCATTTACAATTTTTTTTTTCTTGTTATAAAACTCGTTTTCTTTTCTCAAAATTAATCTTTTTGCCATTTTATGATAATTAATAATATAAAACGTTTCTAAAATAAAATCTGGTAACAGATGGCGCTACACACATTTTTAAATCCTGCCGGGAAAGTTATGCAACTCGTTATTGAAAATTTTTTTCGTTGTCCATCTAAATTAATGATATTTATAGGTCCAAAATTACTGTTCTTTAAATACTAAAGCTTTCAGTAAAAATTCTTTAATAACAGTCATAAATGCATAGATATAGTCATAATATCAATACCTAGATAGATATATGGAAGGATATGATCACCTATAATGACATATGGCCGTGTCATTTATTGTACAAACACATGTCGTCATAGGTGATTGTATCCTTTCGTGCATCCTAATTAAACCTAAGTACGTTTCACTATTTATTCTACACGTATAAAAATAAGGAAAACTTTATATTTTTATTAACAACACGCAAATATTTTCTACACTAAAAAAATACTAATTTTAAATTAGAGTTCGAGGGAGTAAATATAAAGAAATGTACCGTTTTTCAGAATAACACTTAATAAGTTGTAATAAATTAACGTCGTAATCATTTAGAAAATTCTTAGAAGTGCTTTAAGTGCTAAGCATTCATTTATATAAATCCCTAGACGAAAGAATTATTTTACACAAGGGTAAAGCTATCTGTACTTTGGGAGATTAATCTACCGAAAGGAAAATAAATTTATGAAAAATGGTAGCAAAGGATTTGATATTCTTTTGAAAAATAGCTTTCTGATAAGTAGCAAGAGAATGAAAGCTACCGGGATGGGGAATAAGTGTTGTTATAAAAATCTGAAGTGTGCCTTGTCAGTGTTTACGATAAGAACGATGTGTGGAAGAGCTGATGATAAAATAGTTTCGAAAATTTTCTAACAATACAACGAAGAAGCTCTTGTAGAATATTACACTTTTAAGAAGATTAATGAATTGCATTTATTAAAAAGCCAATCGAATTTACATTCGTTCATTAATTTTAAAATAACTTAGAAAATTTCTGTTTACAGACTTATCTGCAAAGATAGAACGAATCTTCAAAGACGTTGCCACAAGACGTTTAATGAGGTAAAGTACTAAAAATACAGCATAAATATTTGGTGTTAATTTTATTTAAGAATTTAAATCGAATTTATAATAAATTTCCGTTGCCGGAAAGAGAAAAGAAAAAAAAAATTCCGAAAATTTCCGTTTTGGGAAAAATACTCATCGATTTTTATTTAGACTTTTTCTGTAAATGCTGTAGTAGAGATAAAACTCTTGCATTAAATGTTTCCCCGAGGAAATTTAAAGCAAAAACTTCGAAATTCGATAAAATAATGTTTTGATTCAATGTACTTTTTTCTTTCTTTTTTTTTTTTTCTTCTAAATGTTGCCCCGATTTTATGTACAATTTATAATTCGATGTTTATCCTGTTTCTATTAGGCTATATTACGAAGAAACAAAAACGTCAAGCTTATCCTTTCTACTTTTTACTTGCATATAGAGATACTTTTATTATTTGTTTCGATTAAAGCAATTAAATAATTCGAAAGGAAAGATTGGATAATTCTGATTTTTGCCATTTAGGCACACAAATCAATTAAAATCGATCAGAAAAATATACACAAAAAAAAAAAACTTTGAAAAACTTGAAATAAAATCCAGCAATGAGTTGCGTAACTTTCCCGACAAATTGTGTGTGACGCCATCTGTTAAAAAACGTTTTATATTATTAATTATTGTTATAAAATGACAATAAGCTTAATTTCGAGGGTGTTTTTATCCCGAATTTCTTAGCATTTCACAACGTTTTAAGGTCTCCCGAGTCCAAAAATGTACCCTCCAAAAATCGAGTTACTTTTCTGGCTGTTATATATAAAATGACCCCTTTTGGAAGGGTCATTTTATATATAACAGCCAGGAAAGTAAGAAAAAAGTTAGGAACAAAGTAATATTTTGTAAGTTGAAAAATATATTACATAATAATAATATTATAATAAATATAAAATTATTAACTGTGTATAAAATAACTCTATCAACAAACATAAAACATGGTTATTGAATGTAGATGCAGGACGTAAAATAAACTTCTTATAGGATTTCGTATAAAAACTTTGATGATTGATATATGTTTACCGCTCTAAAAGTTGATATTTTATGATAAAAATAGTTTTAAAAAAATTTTTTGNACTTTATTGACTATCTTAGTCTATTTTGGAAGTGTATAACTATTGGAATAAGTTATTTCAAACTTCTGTGATTAGTTCACAATCACTGATCTTAAATTGATTTATTTAATTGTGATTTCAATCATATTGTGTAACATATTTGTATCATAAGTAATTGTGATTTCAATTATAAGATTCAGTAATTATATTAAAAATAATTGCATATATAAATTAAAATTTTATTTCTGATACATATGGAAGCTATCTGATCTTTACTATTATAAATGGATATATTATAAAGTTGAAGCAGTAATAATAAATATTAAATGTATTAAAGAAAACAGATTTTAGTTCTGGTGATTAAAATAAAGTTATTTGTAAAGAGTAAGAGGGATGTGTGAAGTAACTGCTGTTTCCATTAAACCATAATTTACAGATATATATCGATTTTATCTCTTGTAGAACCATGTAGTAAATGGGCTGTGCTCTACTTAATGTGAATTAGGTAAGTAAACAAGGAAGATTAATGTACAGCACTTACCTTCTCCAGAGTGCAACTGCCAACAGCATCAACTATAAAACATATCCTTATAACATCGTATATATCTGTTCTAACCTTCTAAAAAAATCATTTCGTCTTTATTCCTTCTAATAAATTTAAAAAATAATCATTTTATTCCTTAAAAACAAAGAAAAAAAAAACTAATTTACTTACTTTTCATAAGTACGTGCGAGAAACAAAATGGCGACCGAAAAAAACAGACGATAATTTGAATGGCGCGGTAAATTTTAAAATTTTGTTCCGTTATTATTTTATTATTAATTTATGTTACTTTTCTGTTATTTTATTATAGAAAATTATTACGATTTAATAATTATATAATTATCAAATGTTCGTCTGTCAGGTATTCACTTCGACGTCAATTTGACGTCATCTCTTCGGTTATATAATGAACGAATTTGAAAAATGACGTAAAATTGACGTAATTATTGCATTGCCTGAACCGAACGAACAAGCCTTAAGGTGAGTTTAATTATATAGACGTATTGCAATATAGAATAAATAAATAAAAAAATTAATTAATTAAAACAATCGTTAATTCCTAAATTCGCAGTTTTAAAATAAAATGCAACAGGCAAAATGGCGTCTGAAAAAGCAGACGATATGTTCAAATTATCGTCTGCTATACAGACGCCATTTTGTTTCCTGCATTTATATACTACAATATATTAAATATATACTGTATATATTTAATGCAATTTTGTAAATTAACTGACTCGAACTGTTCAAAATTGTTTATTATTATTAATTTATAATAATTTTCAGTTATAACCAGATTTATTTATGTATTATCTCCAAATGGGGAGAATTATTCCGTACAACAGGAAAAATAATCCATAATAATAACAATAATAATAATAATAATAACTCTCCCGTGGTCACCACCTGGTCGTGGTGGGAGAGCCCAGTAATTTTACAGATCCATAGGGCAATGCAGGCTGGAGCACAAGCTCCTGGTAGGGACACCCATGCCAGTAAGGTCTATGGGGAGAAATGAAGCTAAGAGTGACCACACACCCACATTCTGTGGAGATAATCATTATNGGTACGAAAACAGCTTGGCCACTTGTGGGCCATCCCCATGAAGCACTGTCTCACCACGCGACTAAACAAATTCCGATTCGCGAAATATTATAGAATGCCTGATGATTATCGGACAATTGCGGATTAACCGGGTAACAAGTTTGTTAATCCACAAACTTGTACTGTTAATTCGTATTACATACATATTTATATACCGGCTTAGATCAGCCTAATTTTAAGATTACGTATTGGAAGTATTTCAACTGATTCTTTTATTTAAACGTATATAAAACAATGGGAGGGTTAATGATAATGCTACGTATATAAATTATAAAGGTAGGCGTATGCTGCTAGATCCATTTTCTCCTACACGATGTGGGACATCATTCGTTTTCTGTTACTGACGTGTCGTGGCTGAAATTTACCAAAAAATATGCGCCATTTTTCTTCATTATTATTATTTTTTTTTTTCGGTCGAAATAATCGAGATGAACTTAAATTTTTATGTATGAATTCTTAAAATAAGGTTATTTTCGACATTTATATATTCAAAAAATCACACAATGAGGTTAACTAGGTTACAACTTTTTCAAAAAAAGCCTAAATGGATGACAAATTTTCATGATCGTGTTTAATTTAGTGTATTTTATAGCAGGATGTTAGTCATATACAGTAAATAGGTTTGACCTGATACTCGAGTATCGAGCTGTTTACTACAATTTATTTATTTTTTTAAATTTTCTTTTAACATAATTCTCCGATTTATAAATATTTACGAATTTATGTACTGTTCTTGTTAATCTGGATCAGCTTTCGTAAGGAAGTAACTGATGTAGATATAAATTCTTTTTATATTTAATTACTTCAATGGTGAATTTTATAAGTGTTTAAGTTGTTTTAGTAAATGATTTGTATGCCGCCTAAATCTGATGACAACTACTCATCTTTTTGGACAGGTATGTGGGGTGATGTGAGTTTTGGATGTCCCCAGAGGCTTTAGGAATAAAATTTAAACTTAAAAAATTATAAAAAAAAACACATATAAATAAGTAAAAACATACTTTATGATACTTTATTCATTTATTCTGATTATACTTTTTACTTTATCGGCTCTGTTATATGTTATGTAACTTTTATATAACATCTCTGTTATGTGTTATATAATAGAGAGAAAGTATGGCGCTCGGTCAAAAACTGAACCCCAAAAAATACAAAAAATTCGTTTTTTTCTTCTTCTTCTGTATTCATGGATGTTAGTGTATGTGTGGGGGAAACACGATTTTGTTCACTCTCTTTGAAGCTTAATAACTTTATCGAAAATTATGAAATCTGACAAGGAGATTTGTTTATTAGGGGCATTAATGCTATTAAATTTCAGTGGTTAAAGGTCGAAGGAGTAGGGAGATAAAGTGGGTCATGTGTCTATCTCGAGTACGATAAGACTTAATTAATAAGGATTTTACTCATTACCATTTACAATTTTTTTTTTTTTATAAAACCCATTCCTATCCTCAAAATTAAGCTTTTATCATTTTATAATAATAAAAAACATGGAAAGTTTATAATAGTAAAATATCATAACAGATGACCCCATTAAAATTTTAAATGTTGCCGGGAAAGTTAAGCAACTGCTGCTTGATTTTTACATTATCCCTTCCAGATTACTCCAGAGCAAAATTTTAGTCACGCCAATGATATCTAGCATTAATTATACAACTAATAGATTGGTTCTCGTGTCCAAAAATAGTTTTTTTTTTTAGATAATAAATTAAAATAATTATATGTAGGCTAGTTGTATTAATAATAATGGGACTCCATTTGTAAAGGTTTTTTTTTCTTGTTAATTTTATAACCTCTTGTAAAAAGAATTGCTGGGCAGAATGAGCACATTTACATAATTATATTGAATAAATTATTATCTGTTTGGGAATAACACTGTACAGAACGTCACTAAACTATGTTCAGATGTTGTTTTAGTCTAAACACTGATGAAAAGTTTTCTATAATGCTTGTTTATTGTGTAGTTCCTTCAATGTATATTTAAATTTTATGTACAAAATATGTGAAAATATATATTTTAGCGCCGTTAAATAGTTTTTCAAATGAAAATTCGCATTTGCACTTAGAACTGAATCATATTGCTTTTTTCCCAGTCGAATTTTTTAATCTATTGATAACTTTTTTTTATTTATTCTTATCTGTTTCGTAATTTCTGTCAATAATTTCTCCATGCTTTCCTATCTGCTCCAAGAAGAATCACATTCGTTTTTTTGTTTTCTTTCTTTCTTTCGTTAATAAACGTTATTTATAAACTTCTGAAGAGCAACTTTTAGTATTCGATTGCTTCTTGTTCTCTCTGTTTAGGTCTTTAGAAGAGCAAGTTTTATATTATAATAATTATTGTTCATAGATTTTTATGTTTAAATGAACATACCTTATTTTTACTTTTCCGGCTATTATATCTTATGTAACAGTATAAAAAAAAAATGACCCTCTCCAAGATTTTTTCTTACATTTTTGTACTCGGGGGACCTTGAAACGTCGAGAAATGCAAAAAATTTGGGGGGGTTTTTCTGTATGTATGTGTGTTTGCGTGTGTGGGAGGCACGATATTGCTCACACACTGAAGTTTAAATAACTCCTATGAATTTTATCGAAAATATCTGAAATTTTGCAGGGAGGTTCGTTTATTAGGTCCATTCGTGCTATTAAATTTTGGTGGTTAAAGGTCAAGGGGTGGAGAGATATAGAGGGTCGTGTGACGTATGTCGAGTAGGGTCGGGCTTAATGATTTTACTCGTTATTAGCATTTACAATTTTTTTTTTCTTGTTATAAAACTCGTTTTCTTTTCTCAAAATTAATCTTTTTGCCATTTTATGATAATTAATAATATAAAACGTTTCTAAAATAAAATCTGGTAACAGATGGCGCTACACACATTTTTAAATCCTGCCGGGAAAGTTATGCAACTCGTTATTGAAAATTTTTTTCGTTGTCCATCTAAATTAATGATATTTATAGGTCCAAAATTACTGTTCTTTAAATACTAAAGCTTTCAGTAAAAATTCTTTAATAACAGTCATAAATGCATAGATATAGTCATAATATCAATACCTAGATAGATATATGGAAGGATATGATCACCTATAATGACATATGGCCGTGTCATTTATTGTACAAACACATGTCGTCATAGGTGATTGTATCCTTTCGTGCATCCTAATTAAACCTAAGTACGTTTCACTATTTATTCTACACGTATAAAAATAAGGAAAACTTTATATTTTTATTAACAACACGCAAATATTTTCTACACTAAAAAAATACTAATTTTAAATTAGAGTTCGAGGGAGTAAATATAAAGAAATGTACCGTTTTTCAGAATAACACTTAATAAGTTGTAATAAATTAACGTCGTAATCATTTAGAAAATTCTTAGAAGTGCTTTAAGTGCTAAGCATTCATTTATATAAATCCCTAGACGAAAGAATTATTTTACACAAGGGTAAAGCTATCTGTACTTTGGGAGATTAATCTACCGAAAGGAAAATAAATTTATGAAAAATGGTAGCAAAGGATTTGATATTCTTTTGAAAAATAGCTTTCTGATAAGTAGCAAGAGAATGAAAGCTACCGGGATGGGGAATAAGTGTTGTTATAAAAATCTGAAGTGTGCCTTGTCAGTGTTTACGATAAGAACGATGTGTGGAAGAGCTGATGATAAAATAGTTTCGAAAATTTTCTAACAATACAACGAAGAAGCTCTTGTAGAATATTACACTTTTAAGAAGATTAATGAATTGCATTTATTAAAAAGCCAATCGAATTTACATTCGTTCATTAATTTTAAAATAACTTAGAAAATTTCTGTTTACAGACTTATCTGCAAAGATAGAACGAATCTTCAAAGACGTTGCCACAAGACGTTTAATGAGGTAAAGTACTAAAAATACAGCATAAATATTTGGTGTTAATTTTATTTAAGAATTTAAATCGAATTTATAATAAATTTCCGTTGCAGGAAAGAGAAAAGAAAAAAAAAATTCCGAAAATTTCCGTTTTGGGAAAAATACTCATCGATTTTTATTTAGACTTTTTCTGTAAATGCTGTAGTAGAGATAAAACTCTTGCATTAAATGTTTCCCCGAGGAAATTTAAAGCAAAAACTTCGAAATTCGATAAAATAATGTTTTGATTCAATGTACTTTTTTCTTTCTTTTTTTTTTTTTCTTCTAAATGTTGCCCCGATTTTATGTACAATTTATAATTCGATGTTTATCCTGTTTCTATTAGGCTATATTACGAAGAAACAAAAACGTTAAGCTTATCCTTTCTACTTTTTACTTGCATATAGAGATACTTTTATTATTTGTTTCGATTAAAGCAATTAAATAATTCGAAAGGAAAGATTGGATAATTCTGATTTTTGCCATTTAGGCACACAAATCAATTAAAATCGATCAGAAAAATATACACAAAAAAAAAAAACTTTGAAAAACTTGAAATAAAATCCAGCAATGAGTTGCGTAACTTTCCCGACAAATTGTGTGTGACGCCATCTGTTAAAAAACGTTTTATATTATTAATTATTGTTATAAAATGACAATAAGCTTAATTTCGAGGGTGTTTTTATCCCGAATTTCTTAGCATTTCACAACGTTTTAAGGTCTCCCGAGTCCAAAAATGTACCCTCCAAAAATCGAGTTACTTTTCTGGCTGTTATATATAAAATGACCCCTTTTGGAAGGGTCATTTTATATATAACAGCCAGGAAAGTAAGAAAAAAGTTAGGAACAAAGTAATATTTTGTAAGTTGAAAAATATATTACATAATAATAATATTATAATAAATATAAAATTATTAACTGTGTATAAAATAACTCTATCAACAAACATAAAACATGGTTATTGAATGTAGATGCAGGACGTAAAATAAACTTCTTATAGGATTTCGTATAAAAACTTTGATGATTGATATATGTTTACCGCTCTAAAAGTTGATATTTTATGATAAAAATAGTTTTAAAAAAATTTTTTGAACTTTAAAATTGCTTATATTTTAAATTCGTATCTAATTTCAGATCGTTATATTTAAAAATACGAAGTAAAAACTTTAATATTACGCATTTTTTTTGGATAAAATTAAAGATGAAAATTTGTAAAATAAAAAAATATATTGAAGAAAGAAAGGTTGTAACTAACTTGAAAGTTACAGACAAAGAAGGAAAGTGAGTAGAAAATTTTTATTCTTTGTATGCAAACACCTGCTTCTTTATCATTTCCAAAGAGAACAATAGGGATTAACTGACCATGATATTTTTAAATATGAATGATTCTATGTAACAATTTCTACACCATTTAGTTATTTAGTAAACGTGGTTTGTGCGTGCGTTAATCTATCAAACAGAATTTAATTACGTTGTTTTATTTGTTTATTTTATTTTATTTTTTCATTAATTTAACGTAACAGACTTATAAACTATCACAAATCTTTCCGTTAATCATCTGCGAAAGATGACCTTCTTACTATTTAATTAATTATTACAGTACAATTTACTTAGAAAATTGATTTCTCTTCATCTTTCGTTTCCAATAAAATGTAAATTAACCTTTCAGAAATAATTCCGATTATGTTTCGGTTCAAGGATAAATCTCGGAAGTTTTCGTTGATTTTTAATAGCATCAATTATTCTTCGGGGATTAATTTTCATAAGCTGACAAAGAAAATTTAATTAATTTTTACGAATTTATCTTTAAAAGTAAAACTCGGCATTTGATAAAAATTCCCGACGGAAAACGAACTGTTTCTTTGAAGAATTACTTCTCTCGAATTCAATTTGTATGTAGCAATTGGCGAAAAAGTGTTGCTGCACTGGAAACGTGTTTGATTGAATTGAATAGCTAAATCAACAATTTGTTACTATACTAGGAAATATATTTATTGCGGTAACGTTTCGTACACTAATTTGCTATGCAAGTTGCATCAATAGAATAATTACAAAGTTACTAATGTACAGTGAAGTGTTGTCAAGTAGATTTAATCTACTCCGTTTGGAATAAGCCTTGATAATTTAAATACTAAGAGGAAGAAAAGGAACGTTCTTTCTATAAAATTAATTTGTATACACATTAAAAAGAAAAGTCGAATGTACATTACTGTCACAACGTCACAATGCAGGGATGCAATTTTTAATCGTCTTTTAAGTTGAAAAAATCACGCGACTTCCGGTCTAGATCGTAATTTCATACACCTATGTATTTCCGGTAGGCTTTAGGAGTGATTCGGAGGACCCCACAGTATTTTTCTAGGGTGTCGAAGAATATTCTTTCCAAGTTTGGTGTTGATACGTTGAACGGTATAGAATGCTTAACCTAATATAACATAACATATATATATATATATATATATATATGATTAATATTCTATCCAAAGGAAAATACATTAAAGAAATTATATTGAGAATTCTATCGAGTTTCTTTTTAAAGATGAGAACAATATATATATTGCATAAAATAAAATTTACCTACACAATGTATTGTATGTTAATAGAGAATATATTCAATTACATTGAGTGTTGTTCCTTTCCTGATACGGCTCCAGGAAAGAAGAGATTCTACAACTAATCTCAACTGCGAAATAGTGGTATGACTTTCGAACAGGAAATTGGAATCACTTCTGGAGATTTTTCGATTTTCAGAAAGAATGGTTCAATCCTTTATTCGATTATGATCGTTATAGGCTCGCAGCGAATCTTTAAAATAATGCAAAATAGACATATATAGCTACACATCAATTTAAAGAATAAATATAATATAATAGAATTTTTGTTGTTGTTTATAATAAGTTTTTAATGAGGATTTACTTCAAGTGTCACTTTTATATAACTTTTTCAATGTAAATGTTATTTAAATCGTTTTTTCGATTCATGGTAACTATTAATCAAAATATAGTAAGAGGATCATACAAATGGAACTGGAAATATGGAAAATAGAAAGTGTCATAGAGTGAAAACCTTTGAATTCGTGGGAGAATGAAGGTCAAAATTAGAATTTTAATAGGATTTTATACCTTTAATATTTCGGGATGAACTCGATTTCATCCATCAATCTTTAATAATCAATAGCAGATGATGGAAGAAATCGAATCCATTGGATAATGTTGATAATCGTCTTAAATTGTGTAAGCATTTTTGACATTATTAATTAATATTTCTGAATATCTAAATCTATTACTTTGATCGGTCAAAATAGTCATCAATTTTAATTTTTACATTTTTGGACTTGGGGACCTTCAAACGTCCAGAAATGCATAAAAGGAGGTTTCTGTATGTATGTTTGGGTGTGGGGAGCACGATTTTGTTCATCCACTTTGAAGCATAATAACTCCTGTGCCTTTTGTCGAAAATTTCTGAGATTTTGCAAAGATGTTTATGTATGAGGGACATTGGTGCTATTAAATTTTGGTGTTTAAAGATCGAGGGAGATTAGAGATAGAGGAAGGACATGTGTCGTATCTCGAGTGGCGTCATACCTAATGAAGATTTTACTCGTTCTTGGCATTTATAATTTTTTATAACTCGTCTCTACCCTCAAAATTAAGCTTTTTTTGCTATTTTATATTAATTAATAATATAAAAAGTCTTTAATAAAATATTATAACAGATGGCGCCATGCATAATTTTAACTTTCTGGCTGGGAAAGTTATGTAACTCGTTGCTTTCTGTTTTTTCTTTTCTTTCGTTTTAGTGTATTAATTTACGACGAAACTTAATCATTTCTTTACCTTTTAAACATACAATTTAAAGTTTTAAAGATGTTAAATGAAAACTTAATGGGCGATTATCCAAAACTATAATAGCGTAAACTAAATATAAAACTCTACTTAACCTATTTATCTAATATGACGAATATAATAATAGTACACTACATCGATATTTTGATACAAGAGACAGATGATAAATAACGTATCCATTGTATTGTACGTCTAAGTTACGTGCTTCACTGGATACTGACATCATAATTTGTCCATTAGAATCAACTTCACATAGAGAAGTATTTTACTGTATAATAAGTATATGCTGTATTATACAAGGCATATCCGGGAAAATAGCTTTTTTATTCAAATAACTTGTTTTTTTATTTTTATTTTTTTGCTGTAATTTATTTAGTTTAAATACTTGGAATTTTTAAATGATTGATTTATTAGTAAATATCCTTGTTTTATATAGGAAATGTATAATACTCTTTTTATTATTGTGATTATTTCCTTATGGAAATGATATTTACTGTCAATCATTATTTAAATTTTAATAAAAGAGAATTTTGGTGTTTAAAGATCGACGGGGTGGGAGATAGAGGAAGGTCCTCTATCTTCCACCCCTCGATCTTTAAACACCAAAATTTAATAGTATCAATACCTCTTATACATAAATCCCCCTGAAAACTTTTTTAAAATTTTCGACAAAAGACAAAGGAGTAGTTATTAAGCTTCAAATTGGGTGAACAAAATCGTGCCCCCCTCACAAACACACACACTAACACCCATACATATAGAAAAAAAACCGCTAATATTTTTCCTTTTCTCGACGTTTCGAGGTCCTCCGAGTCCAAAAATCTTGGGGGGAGGGTCATTTTTTGATCGATCGTCATACTTTCCTTCTGTTATAACCTATATAACAGCTGGGATGGTAATATTCTAATGTAATTTAATGATTACTATTCGCGTGATGTTATAGGAAAAAAATCTTGAAAAATGTTTACTTATAAAATATTTTTATTGATATTTGAATACGTGTTTATATATTAAATATTTAGTGTGGTGTTTAGAGAATAATTTATCTTTTTTAGAATCTAAGACATTAAAAATGCCAAGAATGCTAATTGTAAAAAAAAAAAAATTTGAATCATATTCACTGCCATTAACGTTTTTTTTTTTTTTTTTAAGTGGAAAAAAATCCTTCGAGAATTTTAAGAGAAATTTTATGAATATTTTAACATATAAATGTTGTTTCGAAATATTCTACAATAAATATATGGTCTTTCCTTGTAGCTTTCTACAAAATATTATATTTTATTATTATTTTTTTAAAGGAAAAACTTGAAAACATTATCGCAAATCTCTACGTAAAGTTAGAATAACTCAATTTAAATTTATTATCAGGATTTCTTCACTAACTTGCAGTTTTAAAAGAAAAAAAGAAGGAACATTAACTTTCGTTTTCATTAAAATCATTTTCGTATTTAAAAATTGCAATGATAGATTAGCTTATGATTTGAAATAAATCCCTTACTAATAATAATTTACAGCGTAAGATTTCTCTTTCTAAATTATGAAGCATTATAATTAAAATTTAGAATTCGAAATAGTTAATGTCGTAAAAATATTTTTGATCGAGAAATATTTAAACACATTAATTCGGTTGCAAGAGAGAGATAATTGGCATTCACATCGTGCAGATGTTAATCTGACTGAATCCTTAATAAAGCTACACATTAAAATACACAGTACAACAGTGCAGTACACAATATACTACACAACTATAAAGATATGCATCAACAAATGCACAAATGAACACACAACACAATAAAATACTGATACATAGAACACAGAACAATATAAATATATACAACATCATATATTGACTCACACATAAACAAGCGTACGAACGACAATATTTAATACACATTAATATACATTCAAATATACAACACAACACAAAACACAGATTACATAGATTAACGTAATCCACACGTGAATAGCACGTGTAGACCTATCTGTGACAATGTATATACAATAATACATACAACATAGAAGACACACACTAAACATTTATTAATCGATTTTATTATTTTATACACATTATATATATTATTGTAACTGTGGACGTCTCTGTAGTGTTATAGCCACATAGAGACTAGTTTAAAATTTCAATAGCTGAGTGCAACAATAGGTAACCCGTTAGAAAAGCAGAGGTTGGGTCAAGTTAGTTACACAGGATATCACATTATGCAGGAAACGGGTGATTTAAAATACATTTATTAAATTTATAAAACTCATTCAGCAATAAATAATGCTTTATTTTTATTATTATTTTTTTTTCTGGAATTACTAATACTTAACTGTCTGCTTTTTAAAATAAATTCGTTATGAATTCTTTGTATTTTAAATCCGATATTTACTGTAATAAATATTATCGTGGGGATTAAAGATAAATTCTGAATTAATTCACTACATTTGGGATTAAACTGTTCCCAAAGGGATGTCTCATTGGTGCGGGTTAATGCTCCTTTTAATAGAGAAATGCATAATTAGATGAAAATTTAATTACTTTTATGAATTAAAAAAAATTCACGTGTTTATAAATTTATTAAATATATTTTACTTAAAATTTAATTAATTACATATAAATGTATTCATTAATAATATTTAGATATCGATTCACTTAAACTAAACATTAATTTTATTTATAATTAGTTTTAAGTTTAATATATTGATTACGTTCTTAAGGAGTGTTGTTTTATACAGAAATTCATTGTTTCGAGACAAAAGTCGAATAAATTTAACGTTTTAAAGTAGAAAGCGAAGAAAAGAAAATATTGTAAGATGCGAGAAACAATGTTTTGAAGATGAACAACCAGCGTGAAAAATATAATTGATAATTTTAATCACGATAACAATGAATGAAATCAATTATCAGCTTCGAGTGGAGCTGTCGCATGCGTCATAATGACGTCATACCACGCAAGTGCTTCAGCCTCGTTTCGTCACAGTACAGTAGTGTATAGCAGGCAGACGACGCCGAGCGCCGTTATATCACATGTCGTGAGTAAAACCTAGGAATGTTTAGATTTACGAGACGTACGAGTCTGAGGTTTCTTCTATTGACTGCCATTGTTATAGCCGGTACTTTAGTTGTCTTCTACCACACACTGGTCAGTGGACAACGAAAGAATGGCTTGCAACACGAGGAATGGTCTGACGATCACGATGTTCTCCCTTCGGGACAGGGAGGAGGTTTCTGGCCTTGGATATCGGACCAGAATGATGCTGTCTGCTCTTCTGTCATACTCTCGCCCGATGTAGATATTAAAACTGTCGATATTTATCAGAAATTAAGTTTCAAACCCAATTATAGAAGCTACTGGAATTTGAAATTTGAGAGAAATTATCAACTAAGAAAGGAGCAATGGGACAAAATGCCTCTCAGAGTAAGTTTTTTTTTTCCTCTTTCACGTGTTTATTGAGAACACATAACGATTATTTAAAAATACCTAGTTTTAATCTAAATTTATCAGTTCTAAATAAAGGAGTCTTGCGGTTTATCTAATCAATGACAATTTAAATAATGCTTTATCAACGAAAATTTCTAAGAAGTTTTCTGTGAGAAAGTCGCAAGATTTGAAACACACACAGACATTCGGGGGCCTCGCAGCAGCTGTTTCCCTCTCCCTTCGACGAAAAGTCGAGGTCTTCCTGACTTTTTTGATGTAGTGTTTTTTTACATTAGCGCGCCGTTACACTAGCGAATTTATTATCCGTCATGTATACATAATGACAATTTCGAATCATACACTTATGCATATTATGTAGGAGGATGTTATAGTTTGTTTTTATGTATCATTAGAATGGCAAGGCTGTTTTGCTAATCCTGGGCGTCGCTGCATCGTTAAACTGGACCAAGGACACGCTGGCTTCTATGTACTGCTGCAGCAAACGGTGACAAGATAAAATATAACGATAACACTCGTTGGAGAGTTAATCTCGATTTTAACTCAAAACATTTAATCTTATTTCGAAAATATTATTTAAAGTAGAAGAGAGTAGCGCTTAAAGCGTTAATCGATATCGTGTCGTGAGAGTGAAAAGGATCACGCATAATTGAGGTTGGACACTTGGCCAGTTGACCTTTGGTATAATAATTCCCGGTTATATTATAATAGCTTTAATTTATTAAACAATTATTCATGTCTCCATAAACGAATCGAGCGCATAGTTTAAAAACTATTTAATTAATTTCCTTTAGATACACGGGTGGTAATTTATCGAAGTTTTAACGCGATAAAATCGCAGATTTATATGTATATATATATACAACCGAAACGTGTGTTAGGTAGGCCGCGGCCTGCTTGTTAATTAAACTTAAATACGTTTTAATAAATCTGCGTGTAACGAAGAGAAAAAAAAAATGGAAATAAGTAGTCTTATGCAATCGATTTCCGTTGCCGCTCTTCACCGTTTCTGTCGCTTANATACAACCGAAACGTGTGTTAGGTAGGCCGCGGCCTGCTTGTTAATTAAACTTAAATACGTTTTAATAAATCTGCGTGTAACGAAGAGAAAAAAAAATGGAAATAAGTAGTCTTATGCAATCGATTTCCGTTGCTGCTCTTCACCGTTTCTGTCGCTTATCACTCGTGTTTTTGTCAAATGTCGGTGGTCATTTTTACTTTACTACCTCCCCTACATACGGGTAGACGTATTAACATATTATGTAATTCCCTCCGTTAGTCTCTGTGGACAATATATGTAACACATACATACACCACTATATGCACATATCGATTTATCTATCCATACATTAGATTGATAGTAAAATATAAATTTATTAAATGGTATTTGAATGAAGAATCCTACTTATTTGTCTTACGTAAAACAGGGCTTAGTGAGGGGATGGTCGAGTAAAAACTTCCTCAAATTATAATCATAAAAGTGATTGATGTGTAGCCTTACAACACTCGACCGCGGGACCGTGCATTGTCTGTCTTTTTGTATTCATGAAATACTATTTTCTATATAGTCTACTTATGGAAAAAAAACCTCCAAAAATGAAATAATTAAACAGAAATTTATTGATGTTTTATTTGTCTCCAAGCTTTGTCCCACCTGGAAAATTCTCTGTCTACGGGGTTACAAAACTGGTGTCCAAAAGCATTGACTATTAAACACTAGCAAACAGATATCTGCGTCAAAATGATATCGAGCCAAATTGACAGACTTGTATAAATAATAATATACACTAATACGGTAATAAATATCATCATTGTGTAATGTGCAATAGTATCGCATATTATGTATTAACTCCCCGAAGTACGCCACAGCTCCCATTTAATGTAATAATTTTTTAATATATAATTTTTGGTAAATCAAAACGCGTGTTGGAACCTTGAATTAGAAGGCGGATGCTTTTGTTCATTCGTTTTCAAGAGGATTTCTTTCAGGAGGATTTTTTTTAAGCCTCCGATCTGGTCATTATCCATAATGTTGCCATTGTGAATAATGGTCATAGCATTGGTTGCTATAGGAAATCACATATCATTGCACCCTTGTAGGCCGTAGGGGTAATCGCTAAGGAAAGATATTACATAAAATGCAAGTTTTAGTTTTGATTTTGAATTAAAAATCAAAATAAAATCCAGCAATTAATTGCGTGTGGCGCCATCCGTTACGAGATTTTATTTCAAAACTTTTTATATTATTAATTATCGTTAAAACGTTAAATAGCTTAATTTTTTAGGGCAGAGACGAGTTTTATAAAAATTGTAAATGCTAATAACGAGTAAAATCTTTATTAACTCCAACTCCATTGGAGGTACGACATATGACCCCCTGCTGTATTTTCCCACCCTTCTACCTTTAACCACCAAAATTTAATAGCAAAAATCCCCCTAAAACACAAACCTTCCAGCAAAATTTTATAAATTTTTGACAAAAGACACAGGAGTTATTATGCTTCAAAGTGGGTGAACAAAATCGTGCCTCCCCCCCCGCACGCGTTATCACACACAAATACAGAAATCCCCTTTTTTGCATTTCTGGACGTTTGAAGGTTCCCCCGAGTGCAAAAATGTGAAGTTATTGGAGAGGGATTCATTTCTTGACCCACCTCTATTGATTTTTTAGTTGATAAGTTTTGTTTTTAAACAGAAAAAAAAAACTTAAAAATTTATTCGAAGATAAATATGAAAAGTATTGGAAATTCGATATTTATCTTGGAGAAAAGAAAAATTGAGCAAAATATTGAATATTCGACACGTCATAAACATTATATTTTAATATTAATTAATAAAAAATTCAAGATGAATAAATTCATATATAATTGGTCAACGATTTAATTAAAATATACAAACTTCTATTTTCAGAAAATAATGATAATTATTATAACGCGTGGCATATTTTGAATTATAATATTGTTAATTATCATTGTAAAATATTTATATAACAGTAATAAAAATAAAGTGTATTTTATGCAAATTAATTTTAGAAATTATTTTTAATTATACAGTCGACCCCCCTATAACGTACGTTCCTATAACGACAATTCCTATAACGTAGCGAAAAAATTGTAGCAACTTTCGTATAACGTACCTCCTATAACGTCGTTTCGCGACAAGATTGATAGAGTCTGGACCAATAGTGGATGAGCAGCCGAACTACTTTCCTCCGACCCTGCGCCACGCTACGGAGCGGCTAAATTGAGTTTGCTATCGTCTGTTTAGTATTATATATAAATTATATATAAATTAGGTACTGTACATATAATTATATATTAATTATATATAAATTAGGTACTGTATATATAATTATATATTAACTTAATTTATTGTAACTTTATTATAATTATATATATGCTTTCTGCCGCCTGGCAACACGCTACGGAGATTTTAGGCTAGTAAGTTGAGTTTATTATCGTCTGTACAGTATGTAAATTAGGTACCGTAAGTCTAATACAGCACTAATTTTATACATTTCTTGTGAAAGAAACACTTCTTATTCAACGGCCATAAAAATTATTTATATTAATGATGTCTCCAAAGGTCAAGTTATTTTTCTGCGAAAAATTCGTTATCAGAAATCGCGGCCGCCGTTTCGTGTGCTGTTCCGCGACGAAAACAAGCTTTGAGCAACGGCGTAGTCGAATGGTGCACACTCGGTAAGTAATCCTATAATTTTTTGTTTATAGCATAGTTTATACAGATTATTCCCAAAAAATTATACGTGTTTTGGAAATGTTGAGTGGAATTAGTCTAGAATCGGTTAATTTTATAGAAGAAAACCTTTCAAACAGCCTTAGTCCGTAAAGTTCCCACCTATCGGGCTGCGATTGGCTCGCGTATTTAATCATTCCTACAACGTAATTTTCGGTTAGCGTGGAACGTATCTAAGCGTTATAGGGGGGTCTACTGTATATTATAGAACATTAATTGTTTTTTTTTTTTTATATACGAAAATTCAATTTGATACAGATTATTATTGATTATATTTTATTTTCGTTATTAATCGTTAATATCATTAATAATTTTTTTAATTATAGAAACAGTATAACGTGCGTAAACCGGAATCGCGCGGTACCAAATATATTTTCCGGTTTGGCAGGTTTCCGTTTTAAACAGGTTTTTAGCTTAGAAAATCGCTCCATTCCGAGGAATTTTTTCCGTTTAGGCAAGTTTCCGCTTTGAACGGGTTTTTTTTAGCATAGAAAATTGCTCTATTCGGAGGAATTTTTTCGGTTTGGCAGGTTTCCGTTTTAAACAGGTTTTTTAGCATAGAAAATCGCTCTATTCTGAAGAATTGTTTACGTTTAGGCAGGTTTCCGCATTGAACGAGTTTTTTTAGCATAGAAAATCGCTCTATTCGGAGGAATTTTTCCGGTTTGGCAAATTTCCGTTTTAAACAGGTTTTTTTAGCATAGAAAATCGCTCTATTCCGAAGAATTTTTCACATTTAGGCAGGTTTCCGCTTTGAACAGGTTTTACTGTATATGATTTATTTCATTACTCAGGCCACTAGTAATAAATTTTATATAATTTTTTTCAATTATAAATAAGATTTTTCGTATTTTGAAAAGCGAAAAAGAAATTTATTTAACTTTTTTTTTAAAAATCAAAAATGACGAAAAATTACCTTATTATTATTATTATTATTGAATGATCAATAATTGACATTGGCAACAAATAGAATTTTTCATATGTTAATGTTTAGTTCACGCACTATATATTTAAATAAAGGTGCACGCATTATATTTATGTAAGGGTCCTCTCATTATATACTTATATAAGGCTCCTTGTATTATAAACACTTATAAAGGACATCGCACGATCCCGTTTGTCTAAGGACTCGTAATCTAAGGCTCTCAAGATTTATGATTGATGATATTAATTTATAATACTTAAAATAAATGATTCCCCTCCTGAAACGTGATCGAAGAAGG